GACCTTAGGTCGATCTTTGAAAAATAACTTGAACCTTGTAGTTGATCGAACAGGTCATCAATCCTCGGCAATGGATATCTATTCTTTATCATTGCCTTATTCAGCTCTCTGTAGTCGATGCACATTCTTATACTCCCGTCTTTCTTTTTTCACGAATAACACCGGAGCTCCCCAGGGTGATGAACTAGGTCTAATGAAACCTTTGTCTAATAACTCCTGAAGTTGCATCATTAGCTCCTTCATCTCCGTCGGTGCTAGTCGGTAAGGTGCTTTTGCTATTGGCGTGGTTCCTGGTAACAAGTCGATACAGAATTCCACTTGTCGATCAGGCGGTAATCCAGGAAGATCTTCGGGAAATACTTCTGGATACTCACACACGACAGGAATGCTCTTCATCTCCTTTTTCTCCTTCTTAGCATCGATCACAAATGCCAAATATGATGTACATCCTTTGGCCAAACACTTTCTGGCTTTCATTAGAGAGACGATTCCAGAATTTACTCTGCGTTTGTCCCCATACACCATAAATGACTCTTTCCCTGGCGGGTTTACTCTTACAATCTTCTTCTTGCACAGTATTTCCGCATCATTGGCGCTAAGCCAATCCATTCCCAACACGATGTCGAAACCGTTAAGTTCGATAGGTAATAATTCCTCGTGGAACTTATTCCCATTCAGGTCGATTAAGATGTTTTTCATACGATGGCTAACAGGTATAAACTTGCCACTAGCAACTTCGACTAATAAAGCATTATCTAGTCTATCAACAGGCAAAGCTAGTTTTCTACCAAATTCATGCGATATAAAGGAGTAGTTGGCTCCTGAATCAAATAAAATTTGGGAAGGCAATTCGTTTACGAGAAAGGTACCTGAAGCGACATCAGCTTCTTCTTTAGCAGCTTCGAGTGTCATCTGGAAGGCTCTCACCTTCGGCTTTGGTGGAATGTTGGGCTTTGCTGCCTCCCTCTTTTTAGGACAGTCTTTCAAAATGTGCCCCTCCTCGTTACATCCAAAGCACACTCTTTTGTTGGACGGACACTCATTGGCATAATGCCCCGTCTTTCCACACTTGTAGCAGGTCACATCCTCGCTACATTTCCCAGAGTGCTTTTTCTTGCACTTTTCACACCATTTCGATTCGCCTCCAAACTTCTTCGAATTAGGCTTCGAAGATTTGTTCTTCTTGCTGGAACCTGAAGTTCCCTCAAACTTTCTCTTATCACCAACTTCAACTTTGGTGGCGGTTCTTTCCTTGATCATGTCCTCAACAGACTTGGCAGCCCAGATAGCTGCCTCTAGAGTAGGTGCCTGACGTACTGGCACTGCGTACTCCCACGGAAGTCCCTTTGCGTACCAGTCAACTTTTGTCAGCTCATCTGGAACGATGCGCAAAGCAAACTCCATTTTGTCTGTAAAGGCGTTAGTGTATTCATCAACTGACATGCTGCCTTTTGTCAATGTCAGAAACTTGTTCTCCAACTCCAGTAGATTTTGGGCCGAGCAGAACTTGCGCTTGAACTGCACCAAGAACTCTGCCCAAGTCAGTTGTAGTGGCTCATTAGGGCTTAGGGTCTTCCCCAGAGTGTTCCACCATCGAACAGCTCCACCCCTGAACTGATGTACTGCGAAAGTGGTCTGCAACTTGCCTCTGCAACCACACGTCATGAAGGCTAGCTCCATTTCTGAGATCCAATCCATGACTCCGATCAGATCCTCCTTTCCCGTGAAGGTCGATGGTTTGCAAGTCAGAAAATCTTTGTACTTGCATCCAAGGCCATCATTCCCTCCATCGTGGTTATTCTGCCTAACAATTGGTGGGTTGGCTTGACCAACAGTCCCACTGAAGTTACCTCCTTCCGACGACCCTCCATTCACTTCGGGCTCTTCAACTTGAACTGAAAGTTCTTCACGATTTTTTTGAAGCAGACGTCTAGTTTCTTCCATCTGACGATCCAACATCGTCTGAATCATCAATTGTACACCAGCCATTGTCACCGGCTCAGGTGCAACAATTACAACAGGTATTTGCTCGATTACAGGTGGTTGATTCCTGTTTTCGTTCGCGTTTCCAACTCCGCTTCTTGTTCTTGCCATTCTTGACCTATACACCGAATAAGGTGAATTTAGATCCTCAATTACGATAGAAATCAAATCATCCTTATCACTCCAAAACGTTTACATGCTAGTTCTAATATCGTAATCATACGCTTAGAATCCTAAACACATAAGGTTTCCAGATCCGGTTGGCAACAAACCATAGATCCGAACAAATAATATCATATATGGCAAACATATAACATTTAGCACATAAAAGCATTTTAGGCAACTTTCCTAAAATAAACTAGTGCTCGTGTCTAAAGTATAACAGACACTATCTCAAAATCTTCACTTAGCATTCTAAGTTTAAGTCTAGAAATCATACAAATTCCTAGTTCGCTTAAACTAATGCTCTGATACAAACTGTGACATCCCCAAAATCACGGCCATAAAAGACCGGTTTCATTTATGCTTTTAAAATAATTTCAGAGTAAATCCATTGATTTAAAAGAGTTACGGAAATTTGTCCCCAAAACAAAACATGATAAAATAAAGTTTATCAAAGCATTTCTTAAAGAAATGTATTTTCATTATATATCAAAACTCGGGATGTCATGCTCCGATACAGACCAAAAGCATAAACAATACAAAATAGACCTTACAACAGTTACATATAACTACTGGTCTATAATCCAAAATATCTTGACAATGTCATCCAACTTATGCTCTCGTGCCACTACCTGTAATACAAAGCAAAATTGAGTGGGTCAGGCTTGGGAGCCTTGTGAGCATATAGGGTTTTCAACCCACAATAAATAAATATATTTAGTTCATCAACCAACAATAACCCGATTACCCATTCCCGCTATCCTCAATTTATGTCCCTAAAACAACAACTATTACAAGGGACCTAATCTAGGATTTTCATCGGGACGGACATTACTGCAAAGGGGTTTCCTTAACAATAGATGTCCTAAAGGCAACCATGAGGGGGATGGAGTACAACAAATGAACACCCAAGTTCATTAACACCTACAGGTAATGAGCCTGTTAGCGTTCCACTGGACTGTCTAGAAAAGTCCGTGGTCGTCATCTAAACTCCGCTAGATGACTGAATCAGCAACAACAACGAGGCCTTTCATCATTTTATTTTATCACACACCAACTGTCTACCCATGTTCTACCCAACATATTAGTAGATAAAATATATGCATTTATATACAGTTTAAAACCTGTATAAAACATCCATTCAACAACTAGTTCAAATAAACAATTAATATATAAACACATAGCACGTATTTTATAAAGAATACTTCATATCTATGTGTTAGAAGAAAACGAATATGCACTCACTTGATAAGACGATGATCGGACAACACCTCGTCTCTTAAAATAATCTTTTCCGATAAAACCGGGATGTTTTTTTTCTTGAAAACCGGGCTTCTTGCGGGCAGAGTTTTCGGCTCGGAAACTTCACTTCTCGGGATCTTCGGGGCTTCGGAACTTGCCTTGGGTCTCGGGAATAGTACCGGGGCTTCAGAGTATTTCTTGCACGCAAAACGAGGAAAATTGGGGAGAGAAAGAAAGAATTTTGGCAAAAGAAGTCAGCAGCCTCGCATGCCCTTTTATAGCAGCGAGACCTCGGACTACGCTGGGTGTACCGAGGCCCTACGCTGGGCGTACTCCGGATAAGGCTTCCACGTGGCGAAGTCTCGGTGGAGGAACGTGACCTCTTCTGGACCGAGGAAAGCAGCAGTACGCTGCGCGTACCCATCTCGTACACAGGGTGTACTTTGGTGTCGACATGTATGTGGGGCGTACCTCCTTGTACGCTGGGCGTACCTCGCATCCCCATGCTCTCTTCGGATAAGCTTTGGTATGCGTGCCACGATCTTCAAAAATTCATAACTTTCGCATACGAGCTCCGTTTTCGACGTTCTTTATATCCACGCGTAGGTGAGACTATGATCTACAACTTTCATTTAGACTTCGTCGGCTAATTTTGACTTTATTTTTATTATATTATTTTTAGTAGGCCGGGACAGTAAAACTCCGTTATAAAATCATAACTTCTTCATCCGACGTCCATTTTCGTCTGTCTTTTTACCGATGGACTACTAACGACGAGATCTTCGATTCTCGTTTAGATTGTTTCGGCCAATTATCACTCGATCTCGATTTCGAGATTTCGGGCTGCATACCGCTCAGTCGAAACTTAGAAAAATCATAACTTCCTCATACAAAGTCAGATTTAGACGTTCTTTTTATGCACGCTCTCGGTTTAACGCATTCTACAACTTTCGTTTAGATAAATAAGGCTAGATATCGCTCTATCTTAAATTCATATTTTACGTCCTTCAGCGTCGTGCCGGTTCCGTCGCGAAACTTCGACAGGTCATAACTTCTTCGTTATAACTTGGATTTCAGCATTCTTTATATATTCGGAAACTTTGCCACGACCACTACAACTTCCTTCATAGATATCGAGCTTATCTAATATTTTATTTTTTTACACTTATTTTTATTCTTAATTCAATTAAGCCACATAATTTAGCATAAAACACATAATACTCAAATAACACATTCTTATTATTTCAAAACGAGTTACAAAGGTTAACCTACACTATTATAACAACATTAATGCCTAGCCTAGAAACACGGGTGTTACACCAGTTAACCCCAAATATGGACATACAAATGGCATCAATGTTATCGGTTCCGTTAACGGCTTAATATGCTCTTCTTATGATGATTATGTCATTCACATTTGGAACCCTTCTCTCTCCTCCGTGTTAACTCTCCCACCATACTCCACGCCCTGTCATGGTTACAATTCGTTCAAAATCCATTCCCGGTTTGGGTTTGATCCCAAAATAAATGATTATAAAGTTGTCAAGCTCACAGGCATTAACGGACCATATGAAAATGTGGTTACATGGTGGCTGCAAGTTGAGATTTATAGTATGAGAAAAGGTTCATGGAAGTTGATCACTGAAATGTTTGCCTCGCACATCGCAATCCTTATCAATCGGTATGATGTTTGTGCTGATGGCCATGACGGGCATCTTCATTGGCTTGGTTGGACGAATGGGGAGGAAGATACAAAAACGATAGTGGCATTTGATTTGGGTTCAGAGACATTCCGTGAGATACCTCTTCCAGACTCTACACTAGATCACAATCGCTCAAATGTAGTAGGAGTTTTGGCCGGAAAGCTCTGTGTGATGTCATATATTGAGGATGTTGCATATGAGGTGTGGGTGATGGATGAGTATGCGGTGGCTGAATCATGGGTCAAACGCCATGTCTTTTCACAGTTTATTGGTTATACCTATCCATTTGGATTCACATCACACAGAGAGTTTCTTACTGAAGGTGATGGTTATCTTGTCTTATACAATCCATCGACAAACGAGCATAAATACTTGGAGGATCATTGTCCATAAGACCATGGTGTAGATAAAATCGTGGAGTATGTCGACAGTCTTGTTTGGGTATCACCTACTGAGCATGAGATGACAGGTGGTTTTGGACAAAATCTAAATGGAGAGATGTAAAATATGATGCAATTCATGTTTCTTAATTACGTTTATGTAAAGTATCTATTTTAGATGCATTGTTTCTACGTTCTCTCTTGCTGTTGTGGTTCAATTTGATATTCTTAGGCAGACCCTTTTTTGCTTGTTTAACATTTGGACATGTTGGTTCTAATTCGACATATGTCTAAGTCTAACCTTATTGCTATTCAAGGAGTTTTCTATCAAGAAACTAATTTGATGTCTTTGATGAGACTAATGTATAGCCATGGATCTTGGTTACTATTCATATCTTGTGAAAACGTTCAAGTTAACTTTATGTCTCGGGGTGTTTGATTTCTGGGATTTCTGCATCTTAATTTCTTGCATTTGAGTTCTTGTTTTGGATATAGGAAAATGCCACTAAATAGTAACCAAGTTTGACAATTGTTCCTCCTAGTACCTCAATTTTCTTTGAAAATGTTTAACAAATTTATATATATTTTTTTGTTAAATTAGGTAATTTTGGTTTTGTTACATGTTGGGTGGTAATGTGATGGTCATAGTCCCGAAGGCCGGGCGAGCGGTGCGGATAGGCTATAGGCCCTGCGAGACGGTCCAGTCATGTCGAAGGCTCGAAGAGCGGTTCAGATAGACTGTAGGCCCTGCGAGGCGGTCCAGTCAGGCTGAAGGCTCAGTTATGCATGTTGTTGTTTGTTATGTTTTATGTGGTGGTACTTTGGGGGAACATACTAAGTTTTGGCTTACGGTTTAGTTTATTGTTTCGGGTACTACTGGTGATCGTGGGAAGGCGAAGGCGTGACCATACACATCTGCATGTTTTATGTCATTATGATTTTGAGATACTCTGATGTTGATAAACACTTTGGAAACAATGATTTTGTAAACATTTTATGATTATGGGTTTTTTGCAAAGTTTAAATTTGTTGTGATTTTTGAGACGTTACAATCAACATCCAATAGGGTCTAAACCTTATTCCCTTGAAGCCCAATGCCTTTACTTGATCCATTTATTGTCCATAATCCCGAAATAATAAACTTCTCGAAACAGGATGTTACAAAATCACTAATATGCAATGTTTTAAAAACCGGTTTTTTAATTGAACCGGTCGGGTGATGTTTTCCGGTTCAACCGGTTTAACCGGTTCAACCGGATGGTCAAACCGGTTCAATATTTTTATATGTTTTTAATTATCCTGCATACATTGATTACAAAACTTGTCATCTTTTTAGTATTACAAACTTAAATAGAATGCAACAGATAAAAACAATCATTATAGAAGCCAAAATCAACCAAAGATCCCCAAAACAAACACAAAAATCCAAGACTTACGGGTTCAACCCGGTCCATTCCGGTTCAATTCAGCCGGTTGAACCGGTTTTACCAAAACCGGCCGGTTCAATCCGGTCAGGAAATCGTAATAAAACCGGTCCAAATCGAACCGTCCTCACCTCCGGTTCGACCGGTTCAACCGGCCGGTTCGAACCGGTTTTTAAAACACTGCTAATATGATGATCAATAAAATTACCTCAAGCAACCCTATAATAATCTGTAAAAATGCAATCATCTACTTTTATTGTGGCTCAGTTAGGAACTTTCTTGAACTTTTTCCCATCTATTCATTCATCACAAGGACTTGCAAGGGGTCAAACTCATTTGAAAAAAAAATCACAATTAGCTTCAGGATCCTACAAAATAGGGAGGTTATTCACTAAAATAATAATAAGAACTTAATAAAAATTACAATATTAATGTTTGAAAACTAGGGCAACCCCTATTCTTGAAACCAAAATTGGACAAACATTATCACACTTACATTTGAAGACGATCTTGTTTTTGCTTCATGAACCTCCATTAAAGCTTAATTTCTTGAAAAACTTTAGATTCTGTCGAGAGGAGAAGCTTGACCTTTTTGTCTTGTTAACTTATCATTTGACTTTTAATTTGGGATTTTAAGGAAGCATATGAGGGGTGTGGTATCTGACATGGCATCCTAATCATCTTATACAACCTATGCAAGCTTCCACATAGGCTGATATAACATGCTATGGTTTATGATACCATAAATGTCAAAAATGAAAAAAGTCTCAAAATTTGAGCTTTTCCACACACAAAAAAAAACATATTTGGGGTAAAACCGTTAAATTTTGCTAAATTCAAGGGCTTTGTGGCGTTATCCCCCAAATAAAATCCCCAATTTTACACTTCATAGACCAGAGTCCATTCCCTCTTTCTCCTCTCTTCATTTTTCATATTCCCTTTTGTACTCGCGACAGCTCCACCTTCCATGACGGCGAAAGATGGAATGTCTCCTTACGAAAGCGGTGCAGCCGAAGAAAGTTTCAGTCAGATGACTTTCCGAACAGGTTCAGCACTTTTGCTCTCAGTTAGATCAATTTACAATTGTATATTTCCCCTGTGAGCTTCGTTAAGCCTATTTGGCTGTATTTAGATGCTATTTGTTATGGCTATTGTAGGGTATCATAATTATTTGGCTTTGTATTAGGGTTTTCTTTGTTTTCTTTGTTTTCATTGGATGATCGAGACATTCTTTTTCATTTTTTTCTTTGGCATATTCATTTCTAGTTTGCTTTTGGTTGATATATGAGTTCTGCAATTTTTATTATATTGTAGTTCTTATTTTTAGAAATATCTGTTTTTTATATGTCGAATATTCATTGCTGCATGTTTCTTTTTATTGCTAGAGGTTTTCTTCAATATGGCTGCAGAAAGCTACTTCTTTATAAGTAATCAGTCAATTTTGGGTTCCATATAGTTTTTGCTCAGTTGACAGTAAACTCTCAAAAGAAGTAAATTATCTGAAATATAATCATAGTTGTCATGTGGTCAAACCTTAACATTAGACTACACTAACCATTTCATCATTGGATGGATCATTGTCTTCATAGCAGGTTATGAATCTAAGCATCCAGTTATCTCTCATTGTCATTGATATGCATTTTTCAATCATTTTTTCTTGTAATAGTTGACCACGTCAGTCTTGTAAATGTTTATACATGTCTGGAACTTAAGATATTGATATTAAATATCCTTTGCATTACTTCACTTGTATTTCTGCATACACGCCTCTTACAAAAGCTCTTATTTGACCAGAGATTTATGAAGAACCCCAAAATGTTTCTCATGAGGCAGGGAGAAATGTAAGTTTCTTACTTCATGCTTCTTGTGCGTGCATTCTGAATTATTTTAATTGTTTGCTTAACATATTAGAATGTTGTATAATGGTGTCATTACTTAATGCTAATAGCATTTTAATTTTTTGCTTAATTGCAAGTTTTTAAATTTCATTTATTTTTCACATATTAATTTTAAATCAAGTTGTCTCTTGAATTTTGCTAATCGTAGTTAATGGGGCATTTTTTTTTGGTTTTATGATATTTCTTCATGACTCGTGTTGCTGTTTGATCGTGCTTTCTATATATTATTTCTAATACCAAATGGCGTCCTCTTATCGGTTCAACTTGGATGCCCTTTACTAGAAGTCATGAGCAAACCTTATTTATTATTTCTTGTGGGCTGTGAGTGTTTTTATCAGTGGAACTGCTCATAAAGTGATAAATATTGACAATAAGTTCATCTAGAATATTTGGCTAAGAATCTGTTATGCTGTTGGCAACAACTTATTTACTAAACCTCTCTGTTGATATCTTTTAGTCCATACTTGTATCAAAAGTCAATGGAGGGGAATGTTTAATTGTTGGTTGTAATACTTTATTTACGAGTTGCTTAATAATGTGTACTCGTCTCAATGCTTCATCCTACCATTTTATTCTCTGTAACCATTCTAACCTCAACGCACTTTTGGTTTCCTGAAATGAAGAATTCAATTGGAGCATCAGAATTATGCACTCATCATGTTGGGAATTTTGCTAGCATTTCTTCCGACAGTGAGATATCAGAGCTTGAACAAATGTTGAGACAGATGACCTTTACTAGGTCGGTCTTTCTTTTACTACAGTCCTACACTGCTATTACTTCATATTGCATTTGTAAACTTGTGGTGTGTACTCATTTTTCAATAAGCTGCAATACGTTTTCACATGACATACATGCCAAAAACTTACTTTTGAGCCGTTAAAAGCGGTGCGTACATCAATCATCTACTAAACTTGGCAGTGTTTCTATATTGATATTCCTTGCCAATTTAATCTAAAAAGGAGGGCAGAAAATTTGTTAAAGTGGACAGAAATGGTATTGCTTTTCATTTTATAATGGTGGTTAATTTCATATGTAACGTATGCATTCTTTTTCTTTGGAATTGTTCTGTGACTGCTGACGTGTTATATATATTGCTTCTACAGGTCTATAACCCAGCGCTTGATGGCTTTGGTGCATTCCAGAATCATGGAGGAGTCACCAACTCCTCTTTTAAGGCTTGAAGCATCAACAACAAGTGGCCCGATGAAAAGACATAAACATGGAGATGAGAGGGATAACTTCCATGCTTCCATTGTCAGTTCAAGGGTGAGTAATATCTTCTTGCTCATCTTTTAAGCAAAACAATTCCTTAGCGTATTTTCAAGCGCAATGTATTGTCTACAGGTTCTTGAAGAAGAGATTGCTCAAGATTCAAAGTTTATTGGTAATAATGGGGCAGGCCTTCCAAATCCAATCACATCAACAACTTCACCACAACAACCGGCGACCATGGAGAACCTCCCGCACGAGCTTTTATCAAATATATTCATCCGCTTATTGGCCAAACAGCTTGCTCAGATGAGGTCCGTCTCAAAATCTTGGAATGCTTTTCTATCTCATTCCTCTTTTGTAAAATCCCACCTCCATCGTTCCATCCATAACAACGATCAAATTCTCTTGATCTTCCAAGATGAAGAATTTTATTCCGGCACCAAACCATTCACAGCAATACCGAGTCGATCTCCCCGTCTTGAGCTCACTAATTTCATCAAATTCCCGGTTAAACCCCAATCTGGACATACAGATGGCATCAGGGTTATTGGTTCTGTTAACGGCTTAATATGCTCTTCTTATGATGATTATGTCATTCACATTTGGAGCCCTTCTCTCTCCGCCGTGTTAACTCTCCCGCCATACTCCACCCCCTCCAATGGTTACAATTCGTTCAAAATCCATTTCCGGTTTGGGTTTGATCCTAAATCAAATGATTACAAAGTTGTCAAGCTCACAGGCCTAAATGGACCATATGAAAATGTCGTTACATGGTGGCTGCAAGTTGAGATTTATGGTATGAGAAAAGGTTCTTGGAAGTTGATCACCGAAAGGTTTCCCTCTCACATCACAACCATTACCAATGGCGACTATGTTTGTGTTGATGGCCATGACGGCTGTCTACATTGGCTTGGTTATGATTATATTAGCGAGAATACTGATTTAAAAATGATAGTGGCATTTGATTTGGGTTCAGAGATATTCCGTGAGATACCTCTTCCAGATTCTATACTAAATGATGACCGTGAGATTGTTTTAGGAGTTTTGGCCTAAAAGCTATGTGTGATGACACATGTTGGGGTTGATGGCACATGTGATGTGTGGGTGATGGAGGAGTACGGGGTGGCCGAATCATGGGTCAAACGCCATGTCTTTTCACAGTTTGATGTTGGCGCATGTCTATTTGGATTCACATCACACAATGAGTTTCTCATTGTGGATGACGGGCACCTTGTCTTGTACAATCCAAATACGAATGAGCAGATAATGTTGGAGGATTATTGTCCTGAAGATTATGATGTACAAAACATCATGGAGTATGTGGACAGTCTTGTTTGGGTAGCACCTGCCAAAGCATGAGATGGGGGGACAAAATTGAAATGGAGAGACTTCAAGTATGATGCAATGTTTCTTAATTAGGTTATAGTAAAGTATCCATGTTAATGTGTTACATCTACCTTCTTTCTACCTTCTTTCTTGTTGTTCAATTTGATATTATGTAAGATTAACATTTGGACATGCTGGTCTGAATTCTAACAGATGTCTAGCCGTATTTTATTTATGGTAAATTACACGAATGGTCCCTGTGTTTCAGGGTAATTTGTATGGTTGGTCCCTATTTTTTTTTTCTTTTAACTCGGACTGTTTTTGTGGTTTGTTTTGTGGTTAGTTCTTCATAGACTTGGAATGATTGTTGTACCCTTATCTATATTTTTTTTTATCAATTTAATTTTCTGAATATTATTAATTATAGTGGGTCCCAATCCAATTTATCTCTCACAAACACACTTTCATTTTTTGTAAATAGTTAAAAAACAATATTTATGATTTAAAAAAATTCAAAATAAAAAGAACTAGACACCATGAAATCACAAAATATCCTTATAATAAAAAATACTTTTATCTTTTTAAAAATATAACTATTGTTGTTTAGTTGATGTTTTAATTTTTTTAAAAGGTTAATATTTAGTTGATGTTCTACTTCGAGAGAATTTGCGATCCAAAGAGGTGTGAGGCAAGGAGATCCAATCTTCCATTTCCTGTTCATTCTTGCCATGGAGAGCCTTAATATTGCTATGAGTGAAGCTTGTCGTCAACATTTGTTCCAATGTATTTATCTTCCCAAAGATGGTCATATTCTCTCTCATCTTATATATGCGGATGTCGTTATTTTTATTGGTGATTTGTCAGAATTAAATTTTGTCAATCTCAACAGAATCTTAAGGTGTGTATTTTTAGTTTTCGGATTAAAAGTCAATCTTCATAAAAGTTTAGTGTATGGAGTTGGTGTGGAAGAGAGTGAAATTATTCGTCTTGCTAGCACTTTATGTTATGAGCCTGCTAAATTTCCGTTCTCTTATTTGGGTATCCCAATTGGAGCCAATATGAATCTTTCGAAAAATTGGAAGCCTATTATTGATAAATTTAATTCCAAGCTCTCGAAGTGGAAAGCCAAGGCTCTTTCTTTCAGAGGTCGCTTAACTCTTGTGAGATCCGTTCTTGGTAGCTTGCCCCTTTATTATTTCTCACTTTTCAAATCTCCCAAGAAGGTTGTTAGTATATTGGAAGGTTTGAGAAGAAAGTTCCTTTGGGGAGGGGTGGGTGATAACAAAAAGATAAATTGGGTTACTTAGGATACTTTTCTGAAGTCGAAGAAGTTGGGTAGTATGGGTATTGGTTGCCTTCGTTCCCTAAATGTAGCTCTCTTGGTGAAATGGAGATGGAGACTTAAAACATAATATAATAGCCTTTGGTCGAAGTGTATAAAATTGTGGCATAATATCTCTTGTATTGATGGGAAACCAGTGGCTAAAGCTTCTCTTCTGGGCATTTGGCTCACCATTTCGAAGCTTGATTTAGAGTTGGAAAATTGGTGTATTTTAATTGGTGACTTGATGGAAAGGCGTTTGGGAGATGATAAAAACACCCATTTCTGGAAAGATAAATGGTGTGATGGCTTACTTCTCAAAGAGGTGTTTCCGGAGCTTTATCGTATTGAGGCTGAGAAAAATTGCTTGGTTAGTGACATAATTTTTTATTCTAGTTCTGGCAGATTTCATTGGTGTTAGAAAAGACAACCAAGAAGGGGTGTAGAGGAGAATTCGTTGCTTGAGTTGTGCTGTAACACCCTGGTTCGGATCGTTTTGTAATTCAGGATCGTGGACCGTAATTTGGTTATGTGTATGCTTAAGGGCTTTAAGGAAGTAAGGTTTGGGCCTTATTGGAAGAGATTATTTTTGGTAATGAGATCAAGGCCTGTGAATTGTATACTTGTAACCAGGGATGGACTGGGGAAAGCTAAGTGTCAAGATGCTTGTGAGGGTTAGCGTTTAAGTTCGACATGTGGTGAGCCAAAAGTATCGATGTAGAAGTGTAAATCTCTTCAAGACCTTTCCATGGATATAAAGAACGCCGAAATCGGAGTTGAAACAAAGAAGTTGTGATTGTTTGAAGTTGGAGTGTAATTGGGTGAAAACCCGTCCTCACGAGGTGACAGATTGTGTCACAGCGTGAGGGGCTATAGTGAAGGAATAGTTTCCGTACCATGATCACGACGTGAGCTATGGATGTTCACGACGTGAGAAGTTCTGCATCCCAAGCCCACGATCTTTTAGGGTTTCCTACGTATTTAAGCCCCTCTAACTCAATTCTAGGGTTCATTTCTTAGCCGCTATCTCCCTCAACCTCAAAAAACCTAATCCTTTTTCCTCTTGGTGGTTTTGGCTCATTTTGGATGGTTTTGGTGCTCTTGGAAGGAAGTAGAGGAAGAATTGGTGCAATGATCAAGCAAGAAACATCTTCTCATCTTGGTTATCACCTTCTGGACCATTTGTAAGGATTTAAGTATCTACATTTTGAGTTATTCTCTTAGATCTAGGTTGTTTTGGTCCCTTTTAGGTTCTTAGAGTTGGTTTGAGTGAATAGATGGAATAAAGTTGGCAACTTTATTGCTCTCTAGTGTCCCTTGAGCATCATATCTTAAGGATCTGAAGTTTGGTTGTGATTTGTGAATCTTGCATGAGTTTTAGGTCATTTTCTTTCTATTTGACCTAAGTTGATTTAAGGACATGCATGGGGCATGCATGTACATCAAGTAATCACTTTTATGGACCTTTGGTGCCCCCTTTAGCTTCTGGAAGAGTTGGGGTTGAAGACTTATTAGATTAAGGACTCAAAACATTAGGACTTTGCATCAGATGAAACTCACGACATGACACATGGAGTGTCACGATGTGAGAGCAACATATCACGAATCTTTCGACCTGATGTGCTCACGATGTGACTAAGGATACTTCATGTCGTGAGGCTGCCAACTGAGTCATCTTGGACCGAGTTGCTGAGTTGAGTTGAGATGAGTTGGAATCAGTCCGAGTGAGATCTCACGACGTGACCAAAGGCTGGTCACGACGTGAGGTTGAATAATTGACATTTTGGCTGTTGACTTTGACTTTGACTTTGACCGTTGACTTTTGATATGGATTGAATTTTGGCCAAGATGGATGATTTCAGTATGTAGTCTAAGGTTGGACCTTGTATGTTGGGATAAGAGTGCTGTAGTAGCGGTTGCATGGCTTTGAGCTGAGTGTTAGTCGGTTTTGTGATTCAGGTGAGTCTTCTCACAGTACTTACGGGTCGAAGGCACCAATACCAGCCCATTGGATTATCTTATATTATGCTAGCTGTCTATGTGACTCTTGCATATTTTATATGTGTTTGTATGTATACCGGGCGGGGCCCATTATTCCGGACGGGGCCCACTGTATGTATGGTATGTGGTATTTTGGGGAACTCACTAAGCTTTGTGCTTACGATTTATATTTATGGTTAAAGGTACTTACGGTTCGAGTAGGAAGAGCTCGACTTGATCGCACTGCATCCCTAGAGCTTTCATTTCCGCATTGGTTATTTATGATTTTCTCACTCTAATGTTTCAGATGTTAAACTATGATCACCTTTTGGAATGAATTAATGTTGTTTTGGTTAAATTAAAAATGAAAATTTTACTATAAAATTTTGGGATGTTATAATTTGGTATTAGAGTCTTGGTTTGAGGGATTCGGGCACACTCTCGGGTGTGACTGAACTCAAACTGAGGAAATGGTAATCTTTTGAAAGAAAATAAGTTTCTAAAAAGATTTTTATAAAGAAAAAGGGGGTGTGATGCGTGCAATCAACCGAGCTCAAGTAAGTATTTCCCAAAATACACATACATGCATTATGCTTATTGTTTTGGTATGAGTTTATGAGAATTGCATGCTAGATTAGAGCTAAGGATCTGCTAGGGATGTGCATGATATAATTCTAGGAGAGATGCCTTTATATGCCTATTGATTGAGCTTTTGGAACTACATGCTAGTATGGATTTTAGATTTTTTGATAGAATTTTCTGATGTATGATGCTTGATAGCCTCAAAGGACTTCTTATATGTTAGATGAAATTGACATCATTACAGTAGTTGCTTAGTGTGTGCATCATAGTTGTACATAACAAAGATTCTATAGCCTGATAATGTTTGATTTAGCTTTATTTCCCGTTCGTGTCTGATAAAGGGCTTAGGGTAGAGTCAAGTATTCGGCTGTCTGTAACACCCATTCCGAGAAGGTACATATTTTACCCTAAATTTTATAAAGGTTGGCATTTTTGGTCTGTACGTCGTGCGTACTCAGGGTGTACGCATGGCGTACTCATGCATGAAGGAAGCGGGCCTTGCACGCGTACGCCTGACGTACTCCTCAAGTACGTAGCACGTACGTTATTCATACCTAAAACCCTAGTTTGATGGTTTGCACCCTATATAATCCTCTTTATGGACCCAAGACCTTCACCCTCATCATCCTCCACCTAAAAATCGTTCCTCTAGCTAACCCTAAGTGAGAAGAGTGCATTTTGAGCTCATTTATGTGTTTTGATGGTGTTCTTGAAGAAGATGAAGGTGGTAGAAGGACCTTGGAGCTTGGAAGAAGCTTGGATCTGGGACTCTCTACTTGCTAGTAACCTCCAGGAGGTAAAAAGCTCCTAGCTTGATCATCTTTTCTTATGGATCTAGCCATTTCTTCATTAAGGGAATTTTTGGTCCCAACTATGGTGATTCTTGAGCATGGGATGCTCTTAACCAAATAAGTCGTCCTTTTAGACCCAATGATGGGCATTGAGTCATAAAAATGAGGTTTTGATGCTTAGTTCTTTCCCATGCATGCTCTAGAATGGTCTTTAGGCATTAAGAAGTTAAGTTTGTTGTTATTAAGCACTTAATGGGCATGCAATGTAACACCCTGTTCCGAATCGTTTCTTATTTCAGGGTGGTGACCAAAGATCGGGAATTATCAGGTTTAGGGCCATTGAGGAAATAAGATTTGGA